GTCATAAACTGTCAGCGGAATTCTTCGAAATTTACACTCGGATTAGTTGACGCAACATGAGAGAGAAATTGCGAACAAATTACGAGGAGTGATTCCATCGCAGGTTTAGTGAAAGCCTAGGGGATAAATATGTTTACAGTGAGGTTAGCAGGTCGATGTTCTTCAGCTTATTTTCGCACCTTATCGACCTTTTCTCTCCAGAATTTTTCAAAGAGTGCGGGTCGATTTCCAGGCAAGAGATTCAAAAGATATTTTCAAAACGAAACTAAGGCCTGGAGATCGTGGGAAGGGACATCAAAGGCACCTGGTATTACTGGTAAGTTTCAGCCATGTTTTATCGCATTTTTTTGAGCAAATTTGAACCTAGTTATTTAATTGAGCTTACATTCACTCCATCTTACCGGGAATTATGATAATTTCAAATCTCGTTTATTTTTTTGGTCTACATTTGTAAAATTTTAATAGCCTCTAGCTAAGTCAGAAGAATTCAAACCTATGTATCACTGACGTTGAGGTGGACAGTAACCTGATGACTTAACGGCTACCTTTGCGTCGGTATAGAGGGAGATTCTCAGATAGCTAGTAATGCAATGACTTAATGGCTATATTTGCATCCATAAAAGGAATTCTAAGATAGGCTGAAACACAACGACTTAACAGCTACCTTACCTTTATACCTTGCCTACCTTTATACCGATGCAAATGTAGCCGTTAAGTTGTTGCACTATTGGCTATCTTTGAATCTCCCATTATATGGATGCAAATGAAGCCATTAAGTCATTGTGGCTATCCATCGCAACTTCATGTCAATTTAAGTGTGTCCCTATGTTTCATGGGTCGTTAACCCTGTAACTCACAGAAGTGATTGACAAGTAATTTCTCCCTATAATATCCATACATTATCCAGCAAGCAGGTAATGAGAATACTCAAACTTATCAGGTAGAAGTTAATATTTTGATCTAACAATTAATTCTTCCAACCAATTTACAAGGAGATGATATCATATCTTGGGAGTTAAAGGGTTAAACATTCATATATTCATGCTATCTTTTAGGTTCATTTCCAAATCAGCAGATCTCCTATTGAATTTCACTCAGAAATGTAAGACCTCTATAGAAATCAGAATGCCCTTTGAAAAATGTGTGACAATTTTCTTTTGTTTATCGTCCAAAAACAAACAGTAGCTTC